CAACTGGCATACGGTTTAATGTGAAGTCAACAACAACAACAACAATCATCAGCTTGTAGTGTGTGGATGTTGTCTTCGTACTTGCTGGTGGGCGGCCCCCAAAGAGGAAGATACAAGATAAGAAGAGCATGAGGACGTAGTTGTTCCTCAATGTCGCCTGGCTGTCTTAGGCTGGCTGCCTCTCCCCGATTTTGTTGCTAGGAGCAGCAGCACCAGAGCAGCATCAGTAGCAGTATCCATCGAACAGCTGCTGCAAGATGTATTGAATGATACCATGCCGCCTGCCTGCATCCTCATCATGATCAGCGAAAAAAAACGTCTCCTTTTGTATATGATATCTGGTATTATACTGGTGTACATAGTCTATATTATGAACAGAAAATACTATATGTGTATGTACAGCAAGGAAGAGTGGTCCATCATTATTTCGAGCGGTAATACCACCACGCGCAAAAGCTGTCGTCGTGCGAATGTCTACCGTCTTTGTTCGATACTAATATTATTGTCTTTGATCCACCTATCTATTTTTCCCGCTCCCGTCGTCCTATTGCTTTCAAGTCACGTGTTATCTGTGCCCGCGGCTCCTCCTGCAATATTAGTGTTCCTGGGTACTGCCGTGCGAAGGCATGAATTCGCGCCTTACCGAGTCGTTTGTTGGCAGTTGGAAGGTCCCTGTGTGTAATCTCGACCTGACGGGTAGTGGAAGACAAGTTCGTCATCAGGGCGTGGCACAGACTAGGAAGAGCATCGCATCCAACGGGTGGCTTGACACACGTATAATCGCCTGCTGGGGTGCTGGCGACGAAGAAGTGTTCGACGAGGGCAAGGCCAAGACAACGACCCTGAGGGTCATAGATGGGCGCCACAGGTATATGGTGCATAATAAATGAACTACTTTAGAAGTATACATGATGATTGGACGTGTGTTCTCGCCAAATAATTACTACCTCGTTTGTCGTCTAAATTGCGCCGGTCTACGAATCAGGATGGATTTACCTGTGGATCCCCGATTGATGAGCCAAACACAAATCCCGGTGATGCGCAATCAATGCGTGCAATTGAGCGTATGTAGAGGAACCGGCAAGGTGACGCACCATTTTATGTAATGCCAGCCCGCCAAAATCGTTGGTATGGCCTAAACGAACACTGGGACACAGCAGCGTACACTCACAAGCGAATGCTTGATCACACGCCGAGAAACACATCGCGCGCGTGCTTACACGCAGGGAAGCATGGCTCTCTTTGTGCAATGGATTTTGACAACAGGAATTTCATGGATCGGCCACAGCGGCCGTGGTTTTGTAAGGGACACAGCGAAGCAGCCGAGCGGCAAAGGGATACAAGCATGTAACAACATAACTCACACGCGCGCGAGCGCGTGCTCACGGATTGTACACCATGTCACGAGTCGCTAGCACGCAGGGTAGAGGTCTCAAGTGTGTGAGCAGTAAGTACGTAACAGCTCCCGTTCACGGCACGGTTTATGGTGCGGGGAAGGGGATTATTGCTCCTGACAGGTGTTCGCTCATGCAACGATGTACACACACTGACCTCTTCTTGTGCAATCGAACGACTGTACCGAGTGCGATGAGTAGTGAAGATACTCGTACCAGCTGTAGTAGCCGATGTAGTGTCGGAGCAAAGGCCTCCTTGTAGATGTTATGGTCTTATTCTTTTAGTTCAAGCTCAGGATGGTAGCTTGGTTGTGAGCAGAGGAGGGCGAGTGAGTCCAGACAGCTCCTGCAGAGGCTCCGCTGAATGCGGCCAACTACCTCTGTGGGGTTGTACTTGCGGGACAATGAATGCCCCGAACCGTAACAGATGTGCAGCTCTTGCACTCAATGACAAAGAGTCTGGAGAAACGACATTGGTCAGCGTTGATGTTCATCGTGCAGTGGACGGACATGGAAACGGAGAGGGTGATAGCTGCACGTGAGTTTGTGAGGAGGGCGTGTCAGCTTGTACATCTTTCTATGGGGGCCCGAATAGCCGGCAGGCTGAACTGCACACAACGTTCGTTCGTGTGTGTCTTTGACATACTGGGTTAGACTTGCAAGAAACTACTTCGAAGAAAAATGAAGTATTATTTTCAAGGCCATCGATGCCCAGCACAGAGAGACGATGCGGTTATTGAAACTGCTTTTGATACAGGAACGAAGGTGAAAACTAGACAAGAAATCTATCTGCTGTGTGTGTGCGTAAAAAGCTACACCAGGAGAAGACTGTAACTCGTTTGACCACAACTAGGTTTGGCATTCGTACGCGCGCCCAGGTGTGCAGAATATCACCGAAGCAGTAGTGAAGACCGCGTTGTGCGATCGGATAGTGTCGCACAAGACCGCCTTGCACCAGCGGGAGGAGTGCAGGAACACGACGTCCAAGCCTATCGTGCTGGAGGAATTGGCTGCTGGCAACTGTGATTCGCGCGTTAACGTGTGAGAGAGGACTGAACATAACCTGTGGTCGTAGGGTGCCACAGGCACCCCTCTTGCTACAGTTGACTCGACGCTCCAATGCACTACTATTAGAGTAGGATGCCATTGTACGATCACTGTAATGGCGGGTCATCTTGTCATACTCTGTCGAGTAGGAGGCAAAATAACGTTCACGATGCAGTAGTTCTTCCTTGAATGTAGTCCCATGACAAAATTAGTTTTCCTGCAATGTACAGGGAAAAAAATCGGTTGCCAATGCGACTCGAGCCCTCAAGGAGGAAGGACTCAACGCTCTCATGGACGTGACGTATCTTCCAGAACGCCCGGCCGGACATCGCGACCTGCAGCCCTCACCGGACGGCCTGCATTTTGCACGCGTCACCCTAAAAGCCCTGCTTCGTCCCGAGTTCGCGGCAATGCCGGGGGAAGTTCAAGCAGCGTACATTTATCGCATGGCCTCGTAAGTCGTTGTGTAGAAAGTATATGTTTTCTTGCGGGGGGAACTTCAAGCAGCGTGCATTGATCGAATGGCCTCGCAAGTCGTTGTGTGGAATTTGTTTTTTTTACTCGCGGTATGAAGATGAAGCAGCGTACATTGATCGCATGCCCTCGTAAGTTGATGTGTAGTTGTTGTTCTGCAGCGGAATCGTGTTTCGTGAGACAGACGTAAGAATAATAATGTTCGTGTTGTTCACTCCGAGAGAAGAATGCAGTTAGTTTTACGCACCGTGTAGGCCTTGTCTCGTCCACCGGGTGTATTTGGGATACATACACTCAGTAACTTTCAATTTTGGGTACATTAAAACGTCCGCCGACGACGCGCCACTCGTCCATCATGCTACACTTACTTGACGTTTACCATCCTTTCATTTTTTTGCCGAAAATCACCACCTGTTTTTCCAGTGGGTTCAATATTGGGAATCCAACAGAGGATGACTTCAGGGAGCTCGACGCGGTGGCGAGCGTCATTGGTCGAGTCCTTCGTAGCGTTCACGCACTTGTCGCGCATCGGGACTGGACTCCATAATTCCATGAGTGAGTGCGAAACCCATGCTCTTGATTCAGATGCCTCGCAGGAGTTTGGACGTCGAAATGAACATGTCAACTACTGGCTTGTCGATGATGTCGTCCAACCAAACAACTACTCATATCCGCTTATTATTTATTTATTTTATCGTCCCAGTTTTGTCCGCAGGGTGATGGCGTACGAGCCGTACTCACAGTTCAGCCTCCATCACCTCGCACTTGACGAAGAGTGTACGGCCTACACGAGGAGCTTGCTGGACGGGATGCTCCCGCACAAACCTCTGACGGAGTTCTTCCTTAGTCAACCGTGGCAGCCGGTGTTGCTGGTAGGTAACCGCCATGCGGTAGACTGCTTGACATAGACTGCTTTACGTACAAAATACATGCTCTTGATCAGCCTGAGAAAAGAGAGGCCTGCACCGGAGGTAGTCGAGCACGAAGGGTATAACCGGCCAATCCGCTGTTGATTTCACGCTATTTTCGCCAGGTTCATGCCGGTAGCCTAACGAACGACGCGCTTCACTTCATGTCGATCGTTATCGCGTTGTTGGCAAACAGGAGATGGGCAAGCACAAGTCAATGGTAGCGCACCGCGATATCCACATCAGGAGGGGTAAAGACTTGAGAGCGGAGTCCGCGGCTGAGGTAGTGCAGTTCAAGCAGGCTGTTCTCCAACGTCAACACGCGTCCACCACCAACGCATCAAATAAGGCTTCCGCTGCTGGGGGGCCGGCAACCGGTAGTGACGACGTGGCGGCCGTCCCCAATGCTGTGGAAAGGTGAAATAGTGTATGCCCTCTTACGTGCAATGATTCGTCTTCGAAGTACTGGCTCCAATGTTTGTGTTAGGGTTAGAAAACCGTGGAGCAGCCGGCTGATGATGTTTTGCTTCAACTACGAACTGATTCCATGCCGTCCCCGTTTCTCCCCGAACACCACCATAACTACCATTGTCTACGCATATGACGCTGTATTCCTTGGCCGACCTCCACAGGCTTAGGGCGTCGAGGCTCCTAGCGAGCGACGTTCCCGTCTTCCGTTGGGGACCTGGATGTTCAGCAACTGGCGGGCATGAACTACATGGTGGCGTTCATCAACTTCTCGGAGCTGGTGAGCGGCATTCCTGTGACCTCCTTCATCACTTCCCCTACCCTGAAACAACGTCTACAGACCGCTGTTGGTTTGGTTTCGACGACCTTGGACAACAAAGGCACGATGGTGTTGTCTGTACCTTTCGCGGCCCTTGGAACGGACGGTCCAGCAGGTGTGTCTGGATGGCTTTTGAGTCGCGTCATACATCGAGCATGCCACTTGGATAACTTGTTCTACCGTTGTTTGTATGGTGGTCCTTAGTTGTTTCCACGGTATGTAACGTCATGGTGTTGCGAGATTCGCCTTTACCGGGGGGATTGGGGTAGTCGTTTCCTCTAACGTTGTTGTTTTGTCTCGGCGTCCGATAAATTCACCTGTTTCGCGTGGGACTGACACGGAGTCCCTCGGCGTCTTCCCTCCCGTGCACACGATTAGCCATGAACGACATCTTTACATCGGCGGGTCTTGGGTTGGAGTCGGTTCCGGTCGCGTCGTTTTTATACGGTTCGAGGAACACCGGTGAACGCCACAGCTCCATGACCTTCGTAGCGCACAAGAATGGGGAGAGGTTCATATGCAACGTTCGGGATACGGACAGAGAGGCGGAGGGCGAGTCGATACGCACGCCTGGGGCATCCAGGCCCATCCACGTTCAGTCGCATGATCCTGCTGGCCTCGACGCGCGCGTGGGGAAATTCGCACGTCAGAAACCCGAAGGGGGGTCATTCATCAGCGGGGGCTTGACCAGGTTCTTAATTGAACGGTGAGAGGGTGCTGAAATTTGGGATTGCCGGCTAGATATGATGAACTGGTATGCCTTTCCCTACACCAGGGTTGCTGTTAGTTCTCCTGGAAAGTCGGGTTCAATATCACGCGCATGCCACAAATGAAGACTCCCACTCTAAACGTAATCGACACAATGTATCGATCTGTGTTTCGATTCGCACGCGGTGGGTCGGCGCTTGTTTGGTACGCTCGGATAGGTGTTTTTGAGTCTGAATCGCATAATACCCCACCCGTGACGTGACACACCGATATGGCACAAGAGTTTTCTGCGCTTCGATGCCTCACCATGCCAATATTATTGACAGGTTTTCCGACCGACGCGATGGGGTGCTCACAACTGATGCAGCCGGAGACACCACAGTTTGCCGCAAGGCTCTCGAGCTGGGGCGTACGCTGGTGGCATTAGTCCCTGACCTGGGGACGGTGGGGTTCGTGAGGCAGGAATTGGGCAGACTGGAGGACAGGTGTAGGTCGGAATCGCCTCGGGTTATGGTTTCGAAGGACACGCGCCCCATCAATGTGCCTCATAGCAACGTGCCACGGTCGGTGGCAGTTCAAGTGGCCTCCAGGGAACCCCGACATGGTATGTCCCCCGAACAGCAGGTCGCCGCCATCGCCACCGAGAAGATGGGACTCGAAATAAAGGTGCAAGTTTGGATATTTCGTGGGGGTGGGTACGGAACGTCTTTGACTAAAAAACGCTGTTGCATTTGTAAGGACGGTATATTCTTCAACAATCAGAATGTCACAGCGTTACTACTAGCTAAATAAAGCTCTCGACCCCTCCGGTGCCTTGCTTGTTTTCGCCCGGCAGTCATCAAATCGTCATGGACTCGGTTTGTTTGCGAAGGAAGACGACATGGCTGCAGGGGACGCCACGCGTATGGCTTGTTTCGGGTCTTACGTTGTGTATGATTCTTTGGTAGAGGTCGTGTCTGACATGAACAAGGACGATGCCCCCCGGCACTACGTTGTGGGTGGTGATGTCCAAATGCTGTGCACAGAGGAGGAGAGCTGTCGTCCACAGGCCACGCTGTTCATGGTGCCTCACAAGTCGTGCTTTTTGTGTAAGTTACACAAAAAGCACGACTTGTGAGGCACCATGAACAGCGTGGCCTGTGGACGACAGCTCTCCTCCTCTGTGCACAGCATTTGGACATCACCACCCACAACGTAGTGCCGGGGGGCATCGTCCTTGTTCATGTCAGACACGACCTCTACCAAAGAATCATACACAACGTAAGACCCGAAACAAGCCATACGCGTGGCGTCCCCTGCAGCCATGTCGTCTTCCTTCGCAAACAAACCGAGTCCATGACGATTTGATGACTGCCGGGCGAAAACAAGCAAGGCACCGGAGGGGTCGAGAGCTTTATTTAGCTAGTAGTAACGCTGTGACATTCTGATTGTTGAAGAATATACCGTCCTTACAAATGCAACAGCGTTTTTTAGTCAAAGACGTTCCGTACCCACCCCCACGAAATATCCAAACTTGCACCTTTATTTCGAGTCCCATCTTCTCGGTGGCGATGGCGGCGACCTGCTGTTCGGGGGACATACCATGTCGGGGTTCCCTGGAGGCCACTTGAACTGCCACCGACCGTGGCACGTTGCTATGAGGCACATTGATGGGGCGCGTGTCCTTCGAAA